ACGTTACGTTACGTTACGTTACGTTACGTTACGTTACGTTACGTTACGTTACGTTACGTTACGTTACGTTACGTTACGTTACGTTACGTTACGTTACGTTACGTTACGTTACGTTACGTTACGTTACGTTACGTTACGTTACGTTACGTTACGTTACGTTACGTTACGTTACGTTACGTTACGTTACGTTACGTTACGTTACGTTACGTTACGTTACGTTACGTTACGTTACGTTACGTTACGTTACGTTACGTTACGTTACGTTACGTTACGTCGTTACGTTACGTTACGTTACGTTACGTTACGTTACGTTTTTCTCCGTAACCATACGTAACCATACGTAACCATACGTAACCATACGTAACCATACGTAACCATACGTAACCATACGTAACCATACGTAACCATACGTAACCATACGTAACCATACGTAACCATACGTAACCATACGTAACCATACGTAACCATACGTAACCATACGTAACCATACGTAACCATACGTAACCATACGTAATACTTACCCATTGTTGTTTATACTTACAGCTTTCCTCAGTGGTGTCAAAATCTGTTGCCATGCTGCAAAGTTAAAAATAATTATACTGTTTTTACTTTATTTCTTACACTGACAATACAGTTTGGCCTTTTCTTACCATCTTGTTATTCTTAACAATCCAACTCTGCTGTATTACTATGTATTATTACAGTGGATTCAACAATTACATTTGTTCTTTATTTACAACACTTTTTTTAATGCAAACAACTTCCCAGTTCATGTAAACAGGTTTTAGGAGTCATCCTGCTAGGCAATCATTTGTGGTAGCTGAAAAATCCATGTGTTACATTAGTTATTCCATCATTTTCATTTCTTCTAACTTGGTGTTGTACATACATTTATTTGAGGTATCCTTTTTATACTTTCACTTTAAACATGTGCTATCTTCTTTTCTTTACTACATTATTTCTAGTAGATAAAAGCAAGGGTGATTTCTTCTTTATTACAAAAAAGAAAGTGAAAAAAGAGACAAGTGTTTCAAAGCTGTATACAAGTGAAATTCTGTCATGCAACCAGCCTTCTCTGATCTATCTCCACCCTGTTACTTGGTGTTTAATCTAGGAATATTAGATTGTTTTTATCACAATGTAAACAGGCGAGTTTAAACAGGCAAAGCAGACTGTGATAACAATAAAGAATCAGAAATCTTACCCCTATTCTGGGCTCACTCACAAAACACCAGCAGAGCAGATCTCCAGAAAAAGTCCTTCCCCACTAGTAGCCAGCTCTTAAATAGTTCTAGGAGGTGTGGAGCCAGGCAGCACAGTTGAGTTGACTTCACCTGTGCTCCTCTGCCTAACTTATGGCTCACCTCAGGTTATTAAACAGTGCTTCAGGCCCTGTCCCAGCAGCTCCCATACACTCCACCCCGTCACGGCATGATCCAATGATCAGGTTGACTAAAGGCTAAGCTTACCCTAATACAAATATCAGCTATATTGCAACGCTTATACAATTTTCATCGCTACATGTGTTGGTACAATTCAAGACGAGTGATGATCAGGCAGTGTCCATGTTCCTCTATGGGCCAGTGCTCCATGATGTAACTGGAGGCATGAGATCCTGAGGCGCAGGTCCGTTCTGTGTTCCAGCAGTCCCATGCAGACCATCACCGGGTGTTGTACGTGATCTGACAGCAACGCTGGAACGCTTGATGGCATTTTGTTCTTTCTGGTGATCCTAAAGGCTCATAGAGAGTAACACAGACATTTCAGAGGTACTACCAGGAGGGGAAGGTCTGCTCTCCAGGGCACGATACAGGCCCTATTTCTATCCTGGGTCAACATTTATGCCTGTAGTGGAGCACATCCTGGCCTCCTGCACCACACCTTCTGGACAGATATTTGTGGCTGCATAATGATATCAGGCACCAAAGGAGGTGTCCCGATCAGCCACAGGGACACGATGGGGGTCCCTTTAGCAATAAAGATCGGAGTGTTGACCACAATATCAGTAGTCCACGTACCTATTACTGAAGGGACTACTGAGCCTCCCACCTCCAATAGTCTCTCCCAAGGTGCAAGTAGGCCACACCACTTGGGTTCTACCTGCACCTTCCAGGGCCATATTATTTTAAGGGCACCCGGATCAAAATTCTCAGGGGCAGGGAGCAGAAGATGATTTTCGTTACCAATCTGAGGTCTTACCTGATGATCCGTGCCTGTAATTTGGATCCTAAGTGGGGTGGCCCACGTTGTCCGCAGTATTCTTAGGGCACTTGGTTTGCTGTCTCGAGGTCTTTCATTCAGGTCCCACAGGGTTTCTTACAATCTTTACGTCCACCCCTGCAGGGACTGGGAGTCTGTCTTCAGGGCAGCCTTAAGAATATTGTTACAATGTTTATAGAATCATAGAATCACAGGGTTGGAAACTACCTACAAGATCATCCAGTCCAACCATCTCCTCATCACCATTGCCACCACAAGCACTAAACCGTATCACGCAGCACGTCATCCAAATGCCTCTTCAACACTGCCAGGGACGGCAACTCCACCACCTCTCTGGGCGGGCCATTCCAGTGCCTGACCACTCTGAAAAAACAAGTTCTTTCTTACATCTAATCTAAATCTCCTCTGATACAACTTGCAGCCATTACCCCGTGTCCTGCTATTTTGCCTGGGAGAAGAGGCCAAATCAGTCTTCACTACATCCTCCCTTCAGGAAGTTGTAGAGTGCAATGAGTTCTCCCCTGAGCCTCCTCTTCTCCACACTGAATAATCCCAGCTCCCTCAGCCGCTCCTCATAAGACTGCATGGGATTGCTGCGCCCAAAGTGCACAACCCCACACTCGGCCTTATGAAACCTCATCCCATTCACCTCAGCCCAGCTGTCCAGCCTGTCTAAATCCCTCTGAAGAGCACCCCTATCCTTAGGCGGATCACACCACCTTCCAGCTTCGTGTCATCCGCAAACTTGCTGAGGGTGCGCTCAATCCCCTCATCTAGGTCATCAGTGAAGATATTAAACAGCCCCAGTACCTACCCTTGGGGGACACCACTTGAAATGGGTCGCCAGCTGGACTTCACTCCATTCACCATGACCCGCTGGGCACAGCCTTGTAGACAGTTCCTTACCCAAAGAAGCGTTCGGTCCACGGACAGCCGGTTTCCGCAGAAGAAGCCTGTGAAGGACCATGTCAAAGGTTTTGTTAAAGTCTAGTAATACTACATCAACAGCCCTACCATCATCTACCAGACTAGTCACCCACTCATAGAAGGAGATGAGGTTGGTCAAGCATGACCTGTCTTTCACAAACCTGTGCTGGCTGGGCCTGGTCCCCTGGACACTGCACACATGCTGCGCAATTTCTTCCAAGATGATTTGCTCCATAATCTTCCCTGGTTCTGAGGTCATGCTGACAGGCCTACAGTTCCCCAGATCCTCCTTACGGACCTTTTTAAAGATGGGAGCCACATCAGCAAGCCTCCAGTCATCTGGGACCTCGCCAGTTAACCAGGAGCGTTCATAGATGGCCAAGAGAGTCTCAGCAACCACCCCCACCAGCTTCTTCAGCACCCATTACGTTACAGCACTTACCGCTTTCCATTACTTACCACGCTGTCTTTCAGCGTTGCTTACCTGTTATGATTCCAGAAACATCCCTGTGTTTTGTTTTGGTCTGTGAAGAATTTTTATTAAGAATCCACTTTATTTTTATTATTGAGTACCATCATCCTGACAAGAAGTGCTAAGCTGGTGTGTGCATTTCCGATTTTTTATTTTCTTTTTGTTAAGGCACTGTTTTCTCTAGCCTTGGTGTTTTATGGAAATGCATTTATTAATCATACAAGCGAGTTTTATTGAGGTTACAGGTAGTGCAATTGTTATACAATCAAATACAATAAAAAACTATAAATAAAATAAATAATTAAAAGTAATTAAACCAACATCAGCAGCTAAATGTTAAGGAAAACATTCAGTTTGAGATATTAGAATTTGGGTCTTCACGAGAACACATCCCCTGAACCGCCTCCCAACACTGCTTTCAAGAACAACTTGCAATGAGATGCAGTGCTGGGGTTTCATCCTCCTGCTGTAACTGTAAAGGGTGCATTAGTTCTGAATGGGGATGGGACATACAAAGTGAAAATCGCAAAGGCAAGACAAGTGTCCTTTTTTTTGGCATCTATTATATACAGGGAAGAAGAACAAGTAGGAATATATAATAGCAATTGCAAGCAGGAATATAAAAAGCTGGGTTGTACCCCCAGAAGTTACTATAATCCTCTATCAGGTATACACAGGTTTGCCTTGCCGAGCCAAAAACAAAACACAGTACAAGTTATAGATGGGAGTCAACCCAGCCAGGGTAAAGCAATGCCCTTTGAGGATACAATATCACAGGAGGATTTTAAAAAAAAATCCTACCTTTTCATATTTTGGATTATTAATTGCACAGAAATTGAAATACAAGACCCCAGTTTTGCACATGAAAAAATAAATGTAAGAGCTGTAGTTTGGTACAAGGTTTGAGGGCAATTAATAGCAATGTTGAAGATATGCAGGCCACGGTGGTAAATCCATGCACTTTCTTACACAAGTTAAGGAAAAATCTAGAGGGGTTTGCCATCCTGGATTTGAAGTACAGTTTCTTCTGCCTGGTTTCACCAAAGAAAATCTGAAATTATTTGCCTTTGAATAAGAAAACACCAGTATGGGGAGAAGGAAACAATAAATAAAATAAAATTCAGTTAACCTGGACAGTGTTACCCAGGGTTTTGAGAACAGCCCAATGATTTTTGGGAGCAGGTCAGCTTGTGAGCCTGAGATTTGGGTTCCTCTATCCCATGGTGGAACTCCACTGAAGGATGTGGATGCCACAGTAACAGAAGAAGACTACATAGAATGGGCTGTGAATTTCCTCAATTTCTTGATTTTCATGGCTATCAAGTTTCTCAACATAAAGCACAACTGATCAAAGAGAAGGAAGCCATTTGCTGAACACCCACAACACCAACGCAGAGCTGCCTCCAAGCCAGCGGCGTGCGACTGCGTGGAGACTGTCTGTGCCAGCTGGTCAGACCTACAGGAGGAACCGTTGGACGACGCTGAGCATTCCTGGATTCATTGACAGAAGCAGTTCTAGGTTTGTGAGACAAGGAAACTGTAAGGCAGGAGACGCAGTAACGGCTACTGACAAGATAAATGACACAAAACCATTATCTGTGGTGACTTCCACTCAGAAGGCTGAAATAACTGCCTTGACAAGATCCTTAAATGTAAGAACAGAAGCTAAATATGCTTTTGGGGTGGTACCCACTCATGGTACCATACGCAAAGAGTGAGGGTTGCTTACACACAAGGAAAACAAATTCATCATGATGTAAAACTACCGAAGAGCAGCATGGCTGTTATACATTGTAAAGCACATCTGAAGAGCGACACTGTGACACAGGAAACTGGGAATATGATGGTGGGTCAGGTGGCAAAACAGACAGCTGAAGGAAAAGACTATGGTGAACTGGCTTCAATTCCAGACAGTAAACTTAAAATATCCGAACCTGAGTCAGAACCTATAAGATAATCTGAGGAGGATAGGAATCTAATTAATGATTTAGAAACAAAGAGAGCAAGATGACAGATGGGTGCATACCCAGATGGACACACTGTTGAGCCCTTCAGTATTTTACAGAATTTGGTTCTAAGGGAACATAACCAAACATAATCCTAGTACCGGGAACAGGGTACAAGTGGAAAAGGGATGACAGTACCAGTTTCTGGAAAAACTGGATTGAGATTAGGGAGTAAGACAGGAACAGGACAATTACTGTATGTACCTGATGCAGGGACTAATTTATTGGGCTGTGATCTTATGATGAAATTGGGAATATAAATAACCTGTCAAGAGGGAATTATGGTATCAATGAATGCCTTAACAGAGACAGATGAGAAAGATCCAGATCCTGGGGTCTGCACAAAGGAAAGGAACGGGGGGTTGAAAATAACCCCTTTAAAAATAAAGTTGCAGGATAAATATGAGACCCTAAGACAGAAAAAAATATCCAATTCCCCTTGAGGGACCAACTGGGCTTAAACCTGCGACACAAGGATTATCGGAAGATGGGTCAGCCTTCAATACTCCAGCTAAACAGGTCTGTACCTTGGACTAAATGTTTGTCTCAGGCACTTACCTGAATCCATACAGCACTGAAAAAGACATGGCAGTTTCCGCATACGAAATGTTATTTGGGTTACCATACCTAGGAAGGAAAAATGAGATTCCGCAGTTTGAAACTGAAGATATGTTTCTTAAGAACTACCTGCTCGGATTGCCTTCCTCACTATCGTCTCTCAGGATATTAGAAGAAAAGGAATACGAACAAAGAAGTTTTTAGAATTGTACCTTAGAAAGGAATTGCCAAAACCAATGTTGTTAAAGAAAAAGGGGGGGAATTTGTTGAAATTGGTCGTGTTGTTTCTGCATCCAGCACTGAAAAGGGCAACTGATACAAAGCTGTAACATATCCTTAGAAATAGCTAATGTGCAAAGTAAGAATACCATACACGTATTAGTAACATATTTTAGAAACATGGTTACCAATTTACCTAACAAATACTTTCTTACCAAGCTGTAATAGATTTGGAATGTTCCAAACAAAACAGGTATAGTATTCTGAACTAGGAATACATAGTGTAAGGTTGTTCATTAGACCAGCAGATTATGATAACTAAAAGAAAAAAAAGAGAAAAAGCTTACCTGTATCCTGGCATCACTTAACAAACTCCAGCAGAGCAGATCTCAAGAAGAAATACTTCCACACTCTAAACCAGTATTTAAAAGGGGTTTAGCAGGGGTGCAGCCAGGCACCTCCCCATCCTGTAGCACAGCTGAATTGCCTTCACCTGTGCTCCTGGGGCTGATTCAGGGCTCACCTCAGGTGATCAGTCAGAGGTTCAGGAGGTGAGTCAGCAGGTCCAACACTCGCATAATCTAACATTTAGTAACATGACATAGCACACATTTACAACACAGACACATAACAATCAAAAACAAGTGACAATTATCAGAACAATTTAAAGCCTATTGTTCATAATCTTAAAGAAGTAGCAAACAGGTGATAGCACTTACCGCTTTCCATTAGTTACCAGGCTGTCTTGCAGCATTGGTGACCTGTAGTGATTCCACAAACATACCTGTTTCTTGTTTTGGTTCCCTGTGAAATTTTTTGTTGGTCCATCAAGAATTTTTATTAAGAATCCATGCACCGTAATGTAGTTGCGTTTTTATTTTTATTATTGAGTACCATCATCATCACAAGAAATGCTGAGTTTGTGTGTGCATTTCCGAATTTTATTTTTTATTTTCTTTTTTTTTTTCAGGCACTGTTTTCTCTAGTCTTGATGTTTTATGGAACTGCATTTATTAATCATACAAGCGAATTTTATTGAGGGTACAAGTAGTGCAATTGTTATACAATCAAATACAATAAAAAATTATAAATAAAATAAATAATTAAAAATTAATAAACCAACACCAGCAGCTAAATGTTAAGGAAAACATTCAGTTTGAGATATTAGAGTTTGGTTCTTCACGAGAACACATCCCCTGAACCGCCTCCCAACGCTGCTTTCAAGAACAACTCGCAATGAGATGCAGTGCTGGGGTTTCTTCCTCCTGCTGTAACTGTAAAGGATGCATTAGTTCTGAATGGGGATGGGACATACAAAGTCAAAATCGCAAAGGCAAGACAAGTGTCCTTTTTTTTGGCATCTATTATATACAGGGTAGCAGAACAAGTAGGAACATATAACTGCAATTGCAAGCAGCAATATAAAAAGCTATGTTGTACACCCCAGAAATTACTATAATCCTGTATCAGGTATACACAGGTTTTCCTTGCCGAGCAAAAAACGAAACACAATAAAAGTTACAGATGGGAGTCAATCCTGCCAGGGTAAAGCAATGCCCTTTGAGGATACAATATCACAGGAGGATTTAAAAAAAATCCTACCTTTTCATATTTTGGATTATTAATTGCACAGAAATTCATTAGACCAGCAGAATCAAAACACATTTAACAAACTTCCAAGGAGTCAGGGCCTTTACAAAAAGCAGAAGTGTCCCACTTCGTGGTAATGTTCCGATACTGTAGACAGGTTCCAAGATACTCCCCTCTATCTTCCTTCCAAGCCTATCTGCATGAAAGGACAGATGAACGACCGGAACAATGACCCAGCGTGAAGGAGCACCCATGTTGGGGGGGTAATTAAGCAATTGAGGCTAAACGCCTATGTTGTACAACTGGCAACAGAACAGCTACGACCAAATGTTAGTTATGAAAGCCATTGTTCAAAGTCAATTAACGAATTAAGACTTTCGTGTTTGGGAGGCAAAGAGTTGTGTCTACTTGGTGTTTGTGCCTTTAGTGAATCATCGCCAAACAGCGCGAAGCTGCAGTACTCAACCAATGAGGAACCAGGGGAGAAAGTAGGGGCAGGGCAGTAGGGGATTAAAGATTCAACCCTGTCTTCTCCAGGCTCTCCTGCTGGCAGGAAGCCTGCCATTGCAATTGCGAATGTAATCTGCTTTATCAGAGAAACCGTCCTAGAAAATTATTTAGATAATTCCAACACCATGAATTAATAGGTGGAAACCAGATATTTCCTGAAAAAGAAAATTTACCATAGCCTTCTGAGCCAGAGAACTCACTAAAACTCAAACTGCCATTTAACTCTCAGCTCAGCTCATGTGTTTGCAGCCCTGGAGTGTAGAGCCTGTGGGAACAAAGAGGTGATTCCTGCCTCTGTCACCAAGTACAGAGGTTAGTGCCTCATCTTCATAGCTGACAAAATCTCTGGAGGTTTCCTGTATTCTTAAAATTTTACCCCAGTTTTGCCTTTACCTCAGTTTTTTTTAAAAGAGCTCATGACAGAGAATAAAAGTAATTTTTTTCTCCTCATGAAGTTCCTTATGCTTTTCAGGAAATATGGTTCTTTCACTACTGATGTGGGGATTTTTTTTGATGAAAGAGGAGTTCTACTTCTATGTACCTCATGAATTATCAATGATCTGAAATGTAGATGCAGTAAGATGTGATTATGAAAATTCAATTTACTCTTATGTATTGAGTGGGTCTCCAGTTACAAGATTAATACACAGAAATGGAAAGTTAGATTCCAGAGTTACACATGCAAGGTGGGTGATGAGACCGATATCTTGTTCTAAAGTTGATGTAGTGATGCAATTAAGATAATAATGCTTTATAAAACAACTATCTCACTATGTTTTTTTTTTTTTTACTAGCTGAGTTGGCATCGTAACCTTATTCAGCCAAGGACAATGGAGCACCATAAATCTTAACAGCTGTTCTGGACAAAGGATTAGCAAAAAGGAAGAAGTATTTCTTAATCTGCTTAAAAGCATGTATGTCTCTAAATTTTTACCACCTAGAAGACGTAGACCTTGCCAGTTCTCCTTTCCCAAGATGACAAACTAAAAACGCCGAGGTTACAGGACAAGTAATTTGACACTGTCAGTCTATTAACATTTGATTCAATCGTATGAAAGACACATTCAACCTGATAATTCTTCAACTTCCTTGTACATTCCAGTGACAAAACATATTTTTTCTTCAATGGTAGATGATTTGATGCTATCTGGTCTGGTCTGGTAGAGCAAGAAATAATCAATTATACACTCGAAGAAAGCAGATCTGAAGGAGGATTACTTACTAGAGGAAAAAAAAACTTGTTACAATTTGAAAGGTAGAAAAATAGGTGTTTGAAATCCTCATAGTCTTTCTTCCTTTTATGTAGGTAATTTTTTATTACCTGAGGGCCCAGAAGATCTTATTTTAGTCCCATCTAGTTGTCAGTACCACAAAAACATTTTCTAATCGACATTGATTGCAGAAAAGAGACCTGTCTGCTCGATCATGAGGCATGGATCAGCTCAGGATCTGATGCACCATACAGTATGAATGGGAAGGCATTTATTTGACAGTTCTTTTTCCAAGGGTGAATTGCTGATAGCTATAGTGCTCTGTACAGGCATTAGGGAGTTTTAGAGTTTGGGGCTGTTTTACACACACACATTTTCCTTTCTCTCCAGTGGTTTTGATCCATATTAGCAAAAGTGATACAGAAAAAAAGTGAAAATTTGACTACGACTTTTAACCCTCTGCAGTTCCGCCATGCCCTGATTGATACTGCCGGTGGTCTACATTTGCAGAATTTAAGGTTCACTGTGATTTGTATCTGTCAGCTGAGCTTAACTTCTCTTTCTTGTGAGCTGTGTGGAGGTGGTTTTCAGCCTCTCGGGACTGAGGTACAGTACATGGTTATTACATATAGAATAGAGGCATACCTTTTTTGAAGTTAGAAGTCAAGATGCAACGTTCCTCCTTAGTGTCTTACTGCAAATTGTATCTGTATAAAAAAAAAAAGGTAACGTAAGAGGCAGCATCGATCAGCAGATTGTGTAAGACAAAAGTGAGTGAGCTCTGCCTTGCCCATCCCTTGGGTCTACCCATGTTACTGAGCTTCCCAAGGACCTGATGGTGTGAGATACCATGACCAACCTCTTACCACCTACTACTAGGCTCAGTGCAGACTTCTCCAGCTGAGATCTCAAAAGCAAAGAGCCGTACCAGCAGATGCTAACTAACTTCACCTTTCCTGACTGTAACTCTGCTGTTGTGGTGAGGTAAAGATCTCTGCCTGATCCTTTGCTCAGTGTTCCCTCAGTCTCAGGCCGATTGTAGATATTGACCTTAATCTCCTCAAGCTTGTCTTTCCCATAATAACAATAATATCTTGTTAGTATCTGAGAGATACTACCACACGTTTTATAGAGTCCCAAACAGAATGAAGAACCTCACGTGGGATATGACGAGTGCAGTCTACCACAGCTTAATGACTAGTGACACGCTACTCGCTGTTCCCTAGGGATGTATTACATGAGCAAAAAATACCTAACTTAGCTAAGGTCCAAAACACCTAAGAGTATTTCCAAGCTCAGAGATAGGAGTATATTCTCACCTAAGGCTTTCTTCATCAATATAACTTCCAAGAAGAGGCATGTCAGCTGTGAAAATTGCTGTATTAGTTTTGAAACACAAAGAGTTAAAGCTGCACTGTAAACAGAGGGGTTCCAAACTGCGCTAGTCAAACTTAAAATAATGCATTAAATACAGTCCTATTGACCAGGCATAATTAGGAAAAAAAAACTAACAACACAAGATTAAATTAATTCTTAATGTGATACTCTTAAAGAAATCAGATAAAAAATGAATGCTTATGAGCAGGATAAAACCATTTAAAGCATCTCAGCTTGACACAGAAGATGATCCAAGCTAAAGGATGATGTTTCCCAGCACTCCTTATAACATGTAGGAGAATAAAGGCACAAGACAACTAATTTGTGTTTCCTTGCTAACAGCTCTTTGCATATTGATGTACAATAATTGCTAATCGTTGTAAACCAAATAGCAAAATGAAAAAAAGCAAAACAAAACTGTTTAGTCCTTTGTCTAACTCCTTGCCTTGTACTTCACTGTGTGACACGTGATGATTGTTGCTCATTAATTTCAGAGATACTTTCTATTCTTTGTTTGAAGGAGAAAGAACATCTGAGACCAGATTATTTTGCTCCAAATAAACCTCTTGAACTTAGATTTTTTAAAAAAATTATATTTCATTTTCATGGTTTTGCAATTATAAGCTACCCTGCACTTCCATCTCTTCTTATGCTGTTGTTATTGCAGTAATGGAGTATAGCTTCACTTAAGAAATGTAGTTTCTTCTAGGGGTCACACTTCATGTTCATTTCCCCTGGGTGCTTAGAGACTGATGAGGTACTGCTAATCATAGCAGTACCTGCACAGATACCCCTCATTCCCTATCTGAACTAGCCATCAGATGATATCCAAGTGCTCAGAAAAAGTCACCAAAAAAATATATACTCGTGCTTCAACAGAGGCAATAAATCCAATTCTTCCTACCTTGAAAAACTGTAATCAACTTCATATGGTTTGCACTCGGTGTTATGCACTTATGTCTTAGAACAATTACAAAGTGTATTTTATACTGGAAAGCCTTTTTTCCTCCCTCAAATTGTCCACAAAAAAAGAAATGCAGCGCACTGACTGAACAGAGCAGTGAGGTAACACTGATCAGTCCTGCTAGCTTAGTGGAGTAACACAGATAGCAGATGTTTCAAAAATGGACATAGACATCTCATGCTAATGGGCCTCTAACTTTATTTTTTTGTACCATGAGGACATAATTTTGATTATGACACTAAGCAATAGAAGACAATTTCTTCTTCAGAGAAGATGCCAATGACTGGATGAAAACACTCACCCTGGAGAAGTGTCTGCAGACCTTTTGTTTGACCATATGGCTTCATACCAGTAACAGGGGAAGGCCACTTCAAGGAGAACAGACCTCAAAATATGGACAAGACCTAATGCGCTTTCCTGATTCACTCCGGTCTCAGAGATGCCAGCTGTGATGCCTTTTTAGGACAATACCAAATAAGGGGCCCAAAAGGAATATTGCTACTGACATTCAGAATATCTCAGGCAATTTGTTTGGTTCAGTTTGAGTTTAGTACATTTCAGTGTGCACTTATTACAACAAAAGTGAAAGGATTCATTATGAGTTCACCAATGCATGTTGATACCCTAGTCATTTTTTTTTATTATCTGATGAGATTTAAGCAGTCAGACTTAACATTTTGTTGACATGTACAGACAGTGAACAGACTCAGAGCTACTACTCTACATTAGCCAGTTAAAATTATTTCCTTACATCCCATTAACACATGAAAAAAAAATATGAGAATAACTGTAACAATCACTAAGTAGTTTGCCTTCTTTTTTACACAAAATGATTTAAAATGTAGCAGATTAAAGCTTGCTACAATGAATTATGGATTTATATACGAGTTTCTGAACCTTCAGATATTAAAGCCTTTCAGGAAGAGACATTGCATTCGACCCACATTAATTGAGGTGAGTACAAAAAACACTGGCTATTTCTCTTTGAAACAGCATAACTGGCAATAGTCAGTATATCCTTTCTTTAAGAAAAAAAAAAATCAGATTTATCAAAGAAATTACTTAAAATATGGTCTTCTACTTATTCTTCTGTTGCCCTATCATTCTCTGCAAACACAGATTTACTGCATGTACTAAGAATTAGCATCACTGGTGAAGCAAATGAGATCTTTTCTATTAACATAAGCACTGTTCAGGTTAAATATTCTGCAGAGAGAACTGAAGTTTCCAATTAATCTTTCAAATGCCCACATCTTATTTTGAACACTGTAACTACTACCTCTGCTGTAAATGTAAAGGGAACATTTGCAATACATGTCACTCATTACTGATTGCAAGCTCTATTTACTGTTTAACCAGCTAATATTTACATTAGTTATCTTGTTTCTGTCCTGCATTACTACTGACACACCGCATAAATAAGTATAGAATTTAGGGAGATCACGTTATGCTGTTCTAATCTGGGACATCTAGTTGGTGTTTTTCTTTTGTGATGCTATTTCATGGAAATGTAAGTGAGCAGCATGATCTATAAGCTGAGCACCATAAATAGTGTGAAGATTCAGAGTTGGAGATAACCTTGTTATCTTGTTCTGTCTTTCCATTCTCGTTTCTCATCTCATTAGAATGTGTCATGACTAGAGAAGAAAAAAGCCCTATTTCTACCTGGTTGCTCTTTTTTTTTTTTTTTTAAATCCAGATAGATTCATATGCTTAAAAATATTTTCAGCTTTTTAAATTCACTTTAACAGTTCTTCCTTCATTCCACTCTTCTTGATGTTCTTACACTTATAACTGTGCTGTGCCTTCATCGCACTGTAAGTCTGATGAGAAGATTGACAGGCAAATTGCACTGTTATAGAACTATGACTTCCAGGCCACCCTGAAAGCACCCAGATCCTTAAGGAATCCCTTGCATGCAGTGCAGCGACACACAATATCTCTACATTCAACCTAAGTTCACCTTTCTGTTTGATTTACATACACACTGTTCTGAAAAAAAAAAGTTGTCTGACCTATTCTTGATCCTGTTACGTAGTGAGAACGCATAGATATCATAAGAAACAGTTTGAAACTAACTTAGGCAAAGCAAGGGTATTGTGACTCAGGCTGTTCCTGAATTATGCTTTTTGGAGTTGATACAGAAAATGGTTATCATGGATGAGATGTTAGAGTTGTGAATGCTGCTGCAAGAGGGACAGACTCATCTTCTTTTCAGTACTTTGAGACTCCTTCAATTAGTTTCTATATTAAAGGGAAAATGTTCTGTGTTTCCAATCTCCTTCAGAACACTCAGTGGTAGTGATACAAGTGCTGCTCTGAAAGTAAAGCCGTCTATCTTATGATGATGGCTATGAAGTCGGCGATATGTAAACCTGTAAAGGTTGAACCTTCCTGCCAGTATTCTGAATGGCATTTGCCCTGGAAGTGTGTATGAAATGAGTGATTTAACTCCTGCAGGCAGCAAAAATTGTGCCTATAGAATATATAGAGACCAAAAAGTGGCTGTGAGCACAGTGACATGATGAGCAGTGTGGTCCAGCAGTGATGACACTGACTACAGGTCACATCCACTGGCCCAGGCTGTTACGAGCATGGTATGCAGGCTCTTGTTCACTGCTAATGAAAAAAGCAGAACTAATGGTGGTGACTGCGTTGAAAAATAAGCAGAGTTTCTAGCTGAGAATTTACTCTATCATATGGTGTTCTTCTGCTCTTTTTACCTATAGTAATTTCCATGGAAATACAAAGGAGGCATTACTTTCCAAGCAACACACGTTATTGTTTTGCATTAGCTTATTTGGCTTTTCTACTCAAAATCTTAATAACAAGAGTCAAATGTTTTCCATGTTTTATCCTTGCAGTACTGTGTTCATCGAAAAGTACATTAAGAATAGTTCAATTGATGTAGACATAGACTGATCTTGAGTTCATGAAATGATCTGTGAACTGAGCTTGAATTTTTTTTTTTTTTTCCAGTGGTGAACTCTATATATTTTGGTGATAAAAATAGCTGCCCTTTACTTTCAGTAGCAGGACACTACAAATCAAACACTGACGGTAATTTTTTTCTCTTGAGAATTTTCCTGAGGCTTATTGCAATGAGCCGTTTCATGCCCTTTGACTTTGGTAGTAGGACACCAAAACCTGCAGGCTGCTTGCCTGACGGGTTAGATAATTCTGTTCTACTGCTGCCTTTGTCCTTATAAAACAGCACTCCAACTGCTGATATCTATTCTATTCTTAGTACGTGAAGCCTGTGATAGATGGACGAGGCCATCTAATTCCACTATCTTCAGTTTGATGACATTTTGTTCTGATCAGCAAAGACATTTAAAAAAAAAAAAAAAAACCACCATTCTCCTGCTGCTGCCTCCATGCATGCTATTGGGATCTGAAGTACAACAAGTGAGAAGACTCACAAGTAAGGTGAGCAAACTGCTTCTAAGGCTTTCCTTCACAAAACATGGGGACAAAGTCAGGCCAACAGGCCAGCAGAAAAAGAAAACTTGGTTGAAGAGAAAAAGAGGCAGGAAAAGAGCAGACAACCTCTAACCACCCAGTCTTCTCTGCTGTTTACAAGTCAAAGATCATCCCCAAAAGTGCCACTCAGGCACTCGTTTACTTCCCAGATTTCAACAACACCAGCCAAAGCAGCCCTTCGGCACTCTGTTAACTGCCAAATGTTTTTCTCCCTTATATTTTCAGCAGACTCTGGAAATGCTTGACAAGGCACTGCAAAATGATTTGTGAAAAAAAGAAAAAAAACAACACTATTTACTATTAGACCTTGGTCTTCCATTGAATGAAACCATCTGCTCAGGAATGTTTTCCAGTGCTGGGGGACAAATCTAGAATTTACAGCTGCAATATTGCTCATCTGAGAGAGTTTCACAGCAGAAATGCCAATACACCACAAATACAAGAGATTCTAGATAAGAAGGATACTGAGAAAACTCCTTTTTCCTGTTCTCCCATGACAAGAGTGACTTGACCTCTTTACGGTAAAGATTCAAAATACTTCAAATTTGTCTTCATTCTGGTCCAACAGCTATTCCCTATGTGCTCTGCAAATCTGTAATTGAGTGTTTCTCCTGAGTGATTACACTAACAGGGCAGGTGTGTACTTGTGGCTGATGGCAAACTGCTCTGTAGCACAGACTTATAGGACTCCTACTGAGATACTGGTAGTAGACAGACATTGCAGCAAGGTAAAATTCCCATTCACTTTTTCTACTACAGTGAAAGAAGTAGGAGCTTTATAATGAGAAGAATAAATTTTGACTTCCTCAGCTTTTAAACCGCTCATTTCTTTGAGGTGAAACAGGAAGTAGTTGCTGATAGAAAACAGCTTTTAGATTTTTTTCTGAGGGTACTGTAGTTATAGGATGTACTTTAAGACAGCTAAAAAAATGAGTCTGTTTGGCCAGATGCTGTAAATTCTCAAAGTCTACCTTGATCTGTACTTGCAGCCTGAACCTTCTTCGTTATAGATTTCTAATTATTTCATTGATATTAGCTTGCATTCTCAAAAAGTAAGGATGAAATCTGAGACAGAGAGCTGAAAGATGATTAAGTTATCCTCTTTTTCTGTCTCCAGACAAGAGCTTCTGTGAGCAGTAGTCTGAAAACATACCCTTGAAGGATGTATATGGATTTTTTTTCTGAACATGCTTGCTTTCATCTGAAGTAGCCTGCATGATGTGCAATGAGATGACATACTCTGGAAGATTGCTATGACTATTTTTCAGCAATACATATGTACTTGGTACAAAGACAGCTAGGTTTTGAGAAAGCTCATTTAAATCTTCTATCTACCACTCCAGCCACATACCACTCCTCCTCCCTGAATGCCTTAACCTGAGTTCTGCTTGCTCACAAGCAACTTAATAGATCAGTTAAAACAAACAAACAACAGAAGAAACGATTTGGTGTGAATAAACTGCAATGCATCAATATTTAGCTGGTACTTAATGCATAGTTACATGCCTGCTACTGTACCTGCAAAGCTGACTAGATATAACAGGTTTGGAAAAACCAGTGAGGTGTGGTTGCCCTTGAAAATGATTTGTAGAAGATCAGAGCAAACGTATGATGATCCTAGGCACTGCAATTACCACACCCTGTTGTGAAACCATCAAACAGCCAAGCAAGGACTAAGCAGAAAGAACTACCTGCTCATGTGCTTCCTCCCAAAGGCCCCTGTATTTGTCTAGCATAGATTAGGTTGCATTTAATTATCTTACATGCCGGATGACTTAGATCTGCACATACCATTTCCCACTAGTTTACTTTAATCACAGTGCTTCGGTGTGATTACAGAAACACAGGCTGAAATCTCAATTGAACCAAACTGTTCTGATTTACATAAGAATAATTAAAGATAAATGGGACCAGTGAGAGGCTGACTTCAACTTACTAATAAAGGAGGGCACTTGAGGGAGATAGTG